ACATACATACATACATACATACATACATACATACATACATACATACATACATACATACATACATCCGCACGCACATACAAAAGCTTCCGTCAATATCTGCACTGCATCATTTTAATAAAAGCACACAAAAAGCATAAAACATATCTCGAAAATTTAGAGGTTTAAAATGATTTTTTGGCATGAATTTGAGATAATGATTTTCATGTTTCGGAAGGAAATTTCCGTCTCTCCGAAATCTTACAATTCTTTCGAAATGCAGCATTGGACGTACCGCTGAGAAAATGGAACTTTGGTTCTCCTCATTCTTCCGGATCCAGCATCAACATGGAACTTATACCACTTGGACTCCAGTCTCCCCAACACGCCGGCTCGGAAAGCAGTTTGCAAGGCAAAGTAAGTTTCTTCTACGTGTTCTGCAGAGGCATCGCAAAGCGCTGGCTATCTTAACTCAGGGGGGGGGGGGCAAGATCCAACTTAAGAAAAAGAAAATTTTTGTAAAAAGAGAATTTTTAAACGCTTGCCACTGGAACACTTCATTTAAAATCAAGTGAAACGAGAATTCCAGGAACCATTTAAAAAAAAAAAAAACCTCTTTTTGAAAAAAACAATCCAGTTTTTTCGTTTTTAACTGTAATACATTAAAGCGACGTAGAAAGCCCAGGGAGCTCGGCTCTCTCTCCGGTACAGTGGATGCAAGTTTGCTGAGCAAACTGAAAAGGAAGAGTATTTCGAGAGAAAGACGCGACGACAATTATGAAATGATGAGCCCGTACGTTACTCACTGGACTTTGCAGTATGAATCATCAGTAATCTTAACTCGGATTCTGTGTAACAATTACCAAGAATACTAAAATCACTCTTACAGTCGATGTTGGTGCCTGATATTACCGATGCTGCTGGGATGCTCCCTCAGACCTGATACAGCTATTCGAGGCTCTACGATCGGAAGCTGCACGCTTTTGCAACATTTAATATTACTTTTTAGAAGCACTTCAACACTGACTCTCATTTACCGTGACAGCTTATTGAAACAATGCTTGTGTATTACTGATAAGGCCAATAGCGTTACTTCTCACTGGAACAAGCAGCAGTAATAGGAAACTGTTTGTTTCTCTGTGTTTAGGAATCGGCAATGAAAATGGGTTCTGAATAATAAATAATCGCTGCGTGCGCCTAGGACAAATTGCGAGCATGCACGCTCTGCAAGATAACTTACAAATTACTTGAAGTAAGGCAACTTGAAGGTCGACTTCAAGTATGTCTAGTTGTAAATGATTGTGAATTATGTTCACAAACAATTAACCCAGCTGGTGTGGTTGTCGAGTTACAGAATTGTCGGCGTCAATTTTCCATGCGCTGTCTCCAATTCTTGCCTCTAAAACAACATCTCAGTCCTTTCCATCCCTGTGTAACTGCATTCCCAAACCGACCAGTGTTTCAGCCCCATCCTGATACCGGGACCCTGCCGATCAAACTAGCATCACACCGTGACTCTTTCCATCCACTACTCTAAACTTTGTTACCTACCACTCAGGGGAACATCACCCAGCGCCGGGCGGCGTTAACCAAGTCGCCGGTGAAACGACACCTATAAGAGCTGTGGTGTCTTATTAGTACAAAAACAAGTCTCCAATTTGGACTTTTACCGAGACATATGTGAGTAGCTGAATTTAAAATCTTTAGGTCATACGTGCACATCTTGGTGAAAGTTCAGCCTCCTGTCTTTTCCGGTCCCCAGAGTCGTTTTCTCGCCAAAACTTTTTCAGTCTTGCTTTCAGCATTTGTGTTTTAAGTGTACGTGGGATTTGATTTTATGTCTATGGAACTCTAGATGGATTGAAAACATACCTGCAAAATTTCAGCTTTTAGTTTCTCTGATTACTGTGTGGAAAATGCTTGAAAAACTCGAACACAGCGCATACACCGAACAATCCTTAATCTAATTTTTTATCCATTTTCACATCCAGCAGTTACGCAAAACCAATTAAAAACGGATGGCACGTTGCTGAAAAGAATTAATTTAACTATAAGATGCTGCACAGCCTTTTGCTGGAAGATTGGATCCAGTGCAATAACTGATTTCCTGCTCTGTACTGAAGAATTTATTAATAATTAACTTGTTTCGTTTTTAATAAAACGAAAATGCATCAAAATTGCAGAATGTCTTCCAGTACTATACTGGCACCTCCACGAATGTCTGCTGAGCATTCACTACGAACGGCGCGAGGAAAAGACTCTCTAGAACAAGTTTCACCAGCGATGACGGCCTATCTCGGTGTGTTGACCATGAGTCAAGCCGAAGAACGAGTCAACAAGCCAACTTCATTCAAACTCTATCATTTGGTAATCTGATAGCTTCTTGTTTTTGTAAAAATGGGGCATTTTTGCTAACTTCCAGTTAGCAACAAACCTTTTGCTTTGCATCATAAACACATTAAGAAAGGAAGTGAGATCCACTCAGTCGATGAAAAATATACCGAAGCACGAATTGTATGAAATAAAGATGTGCTTCGGAATCACTGTGAAATAATCAATTAGAAAAAGCCAATGGACTTGTATTTTTCTGTTTTTAATTTCTTCGTGCACAAGTATGCAGAATGAGATTCCGAATTGAGAAAGCAACGCGTGACTCGCACAGCACAGTTTTCTTCCTCTAAATTCCTACTGAAACAACAAAGGTAGTAACGCACCAGGCTAGTCGGCGCGATCACGTGGTTCTCTCCTATGGAGAGATCGTCTATATTGCTGGAATGTGAGAGCGGTGTTGCAGTTCGAACAGTTGACACACCTGTACGCAGAGCCCATGCCTAGACGGAAACTCAGCTTGGTGGCTTGCACATTACAGCAAACATCCTCAAAAAATTCTGCTTCCTTCTCAGTCTGGACACCAAACTAATTTTATGTCAATATCTCCTAAACTAAGCTTTCACTTGCACCACGCGAAACAATAAGCGTACTTTAAAGCTGAATTTGAAATACTAGGATCGCATATTGGCATAGAATGTAAAGATTCGTCTCACTAACTCTATTGATTGGCGAAATCACCTTTCGTTACAGATATCCGAATGAGTGATATAGTCGTGCACCGGAATACGCCTACGTGCCCAATTAAAGCAAATATCCTAGCAAAGTTTAAACACACTAAATAACTTAGTTCCCGAGTTGGCATTTTGCCGCCAACTTCGGAATCTCAACTCCTGCGTATCTGTACATGTGAAGCAGACGTGAAACCTCACATAACAGCATAGAACACTTTTTTGAAACTGAGCACAAAAAGTAAAACCAGCTGCATCCAGCATAAAAAGCAAAACATTTCTGAACATCTTGCGCAAAGGCATAGAACATCTCCAAAAATTTCGGCTTCCTAGCCTGTCTGGTTATCGAACTGAAAGTTGGTGACAAAATGCGAACACACAGAAACACAATACACACACACACAAACACGCGCATACATACATGTACGCATAATCTCCTGTCAATATGTTTTGTGTTTTTGCACAAATATGCATTCAGTTGTGGCGCGCACTAGGCTTGCCGGTGCGATTATGCGTTTTTGCATGATTTTGTACTGTGGTAGACCTACTGAAACAAGTGCTTTTCCCTTACCATTTTAATTTTTGATTTATTATGCGTTTTTTGCAGCCATGCAATGCAAAAAACGCATACTGACGAGAGGTTGTCTGTGTGTGTGTGTGCCTGTGTATGTGTGTGTGTGTGTGTGTGTGTCCACAGCAGCTTGTCCGCAACTTTCAACTCGGGAGCCACAAAAGCTAGGAAGCTGAAAATTTAGGGGAATGTTTCCCATCCACGTGTGACCCAGCAAATTTAAATTCAGCTCCCTCGTACCCGCGAGTAACATGTATGGCCCAGGTAAAACAGGTAAATTAATATCTCAGGAACGGTGGACTCTAGGAGGCTAAAATTTTAGGACAATGACCTCCTGCCCACGTTCAACCTTACCCATTTAAATTCAGCTTTCTCGTACCCGAGGGTAACACATACGGCCCCGTGAGAGTTTTTTACGGGTAAACTAATATCTCGGGAATTATGGAATCTAGGAGGTTAAAATTTTAGGATAATGACCCCCTGCCCACGCTCAACCTTGCCTTTTTAAATTTAGCGTTCCCGCGCTCTTGAGTATCACCTGCGGCCTCGTGAAAAACTTCGACGGGTAAATTATTAACTCGGGATAAAGATATTCACCCTTCAAGGTTTCGATTTCAATTTTCATGCGCTGGTGCGTGAAATTTTTAACTGTTTTCCAATGTTTGAACTATTTTTGCACAGACTA